TATGCACTCAATCAAAAATCTTGAATAATCACATCCCAAAGTTCAAAAATGGATCAGAAGTAGTAATACATATCCAATCCAATCCAAAAACACTGTTTTGACTTTAGAATTTTATTTTAAAGGTTGTACAAGGTCAGATTCTGAAACTGTTGCAAACCTGTCAGGCAAAGGAGATGAAAAAGAAAAGTGAAAAGACAGAAGTATATTCTTCATTTTGTACAACCATTTAATAGTAATGAAACTATTCATTTAAACATGGTTTTTAACTGTTCAAAGTCACCATCTGGATTTATCTGTGAATCCACTATTTATATGATTTCTAGACCTGTGATAACTTGAAATATTTGTGTTTACTGAAAGGTAAAACTGCATTAATAATTTTATTAATTAAAATTTTAAGCATGTAAATAAAATTAAGGCATGGGACATTTTTGAAAGCAAAATAGTATATGAGAACATTATATAAATATCATGAAAGGCTTATACATAATGACTGAACATGCTTCCTTCTGGGTGTGCTTTTAGTGTGTCTGATTCTTTAAATCTCAATTTATTTGGACATTATGTGGTGAGGTGACAACTGGCAGTCTGTCACAAACACGAACATAAACCTTCTCCTGACAGATACTTCGAATGATGTATTAACATGCTAAAATCATAAAAACCCCTTCCAAAGTCACAGTGATATACGTTCTTTTCAACACGACAATGTTTGTCATTATCATTGATGGCATACAGCTTCTTCAGATCCTCTTCCCTTCCACAGAAGAATTCAATCACAAATAGCACTATACAACTAGTGACTCAGTATAAAATAAATTCTTCCAAATATGCCCAATGTGATCAATCCTTTATAAACACCAGGAAATGTATACTCTTGGATGACAAAGAGTCCCAATGCCTAAGAGGCTTAACACTCATATCTCGGTCATGGCTGCATAACCAGGAAAATGAACATCATGATGGGCTCCTGCATTCTTCACATTGTGCTCATGAACAAAGTCAGTGTAGTTTCTATGGGCGTTCTGGGGTGGGGGCAAAGGCCTTGTGTTCCACTGGTTTCCACCACGTTGACAGCAGTCACTGGCCGCAGACAGCCTGGATGGTTGGGGAGTTGGAGGGGAGCACAGTTAGTCAATAGGAATAGGAGAAAATGGATGTGTTAAGAGGTAATGAAAGAGAAAGGCAATGTGAACAGCATGCACCACTGCTATGAGTTATTACCAACATCTACTCCATGCAATGATAACATTCAAGAATAACAAAGGGGAAATCAACAAAGTTACACGGTAAGAGAAAGCGTCAATATGGAAGTATGTACGAGTAATGATAATCAGCTAAGTGAATTAATTAGAGAAGAAAATTCACAGCAAGACACCCTGTATCTATGCCTGATGTTATGAAAATCAAATGCAGAAATGTTGCTTGGGATTCTAAAGAGGAGAAAAAATATTCATAATCTACTTAATTGAAATACTTGAAAGAAGAATTTTACATAAAAACAAAGGCATATGTGAAATAGGGCAATTATTGAAAATTATTCCCCAAATTATATGATTTCACAAAATTAAAATTTGGGAAACAAAATTTCAGAAACAGAATTAAAGAAAAATCTGCCCTCAAGAGTTCACATGATTTTTACATCAATGTTCCCTAATAATAGAGAACTGCTGATCCTTCTAACTGTAGAAAAAGTTCACAGGACAACAGGATCTCAAAATAAAAATCAACAGGTACAGATAACGTGTAAGATTGTAAGTCTCCAAAACAGCATTTTTTCAAAAAACAAACGTTTAATAAGCTTATTAGATGTCTTTTATCACAGTGCTATAGAACTAGAAGAGTGAAACATGCATACACGTAATTCCCAGTTAAAAGTGCTAAAAGTGAGTCCTCTGATAGAAAACATTTGCAAAGGTTCAGCAAACCAAAATTGCGTGATATGGCAAAAAGGGCAACACATATTTCAAATAACTGCAAAAGAAAAAAAAAGTATCCCGAATCTGAGCTATCTAAAAAATAGATTGTAAAATGTAGTGTTATCTTTATAACTCAACCAAAACACTAATCTTTAATCTTTTTTTGCTTTAGGGAAACTAAAAAGGATGTGAAAGACTCACAATAAAATCATCTTACTTCCTTCAACCAAAATAATCTGTTTATCAGATCTAATCCACAAAATTCAAAAACTCAACTTAGGGTCTCTAAAAATTAAGAAAATTAAATGAAATTTATTCCAGATTTTCTAAATAGTATTGCTTTGTTTTTGTTGTTTGCAAATGATTTATGTATTTAAATTGCATGGATTGTTTCTCAAAATTTGACATACTATTTGATAAATTCTTTTTTTTTTTTTGAGAATTTTTAATATTTATTTTCTAGTTATCGGCGGACACAACACCTTTGTTTGTATGTGGTGCTGAGGATCGAACCCGGGCCGCACGCATGCCAGGCGAGCGCGCTACCGCTTGAGCCACATCCCCAGCCCTATTTGATAAATTCTAAGTTACTGATACATCAAAGCTTTGGCCCAATTAATGGGTCATTTAAAATATATCAGCAAGAAAAAGCTGAATTCATAGCTGGGCGTGGTGGTGCATACCTATACTCCCAGCTGCTGTGGAGGCTGATACAGGAGGTCTGTGAGTTCAAAGTCAGCCTCATCAATTTAGAAAGGACCTAAACAACTCAGTAAGACCCTGTCTCTAAACAAAATACAAAAAAGGCCCGGGATGTTGCTCAGTGATTGAGTGCCCCTGGGTTCAATTTCCTATACCAAAAAGAAAAGAAAAAGCTGAAGATAAGAAAAGGAAATAGATTAAGTTGGCTAAAAGTTATCTGCCAAAAATAAGGTGCTCATGAGCCTAGCGTGGTGGTGTATGCCCAAAATCCCTGAGACTTTGGAGGCTGAAGCAGGAGGAATTTAAATTCAAGGCCAGGCTTGGTAACTTAATGAGTCTCAAAATAAAAAGGGTTAGGGATGGTGCTGGGGCTCAGTGGTAGAGTGCTTGCCTCAAGTGTGTGAGGCACTTGGTTCCATCCTCAGCACCCACATAAAAATAAATAAATTAAATAAAGATATGGTGTCCATATACAACTAAAATATATGTATATAAAAAGGGGGGGGCTGGGGTTTTGGATCAGGGGTAGAGCACTCGCCTAGTGTGTGTGAGGCCCTGGGTTCGATCCTCAGCACCACATAAAAAATATTAAAAAAAGGGGGGTTGGGAATGTATCTCAGTGGTGGAGTGTCTCTGGGTTCAAACCTCAATACCAAAAAACAACAAAAACTAATATGCTCCATTATTCTGCCCAACTTTTCAAACCCATGGAGAATTTCCAAGTTTTATTAATACTTTCTAAAGGAGGACTCTTTTATTCTTTTAGAATAGATTAAATTGGTTAAAAATATGCAGAAACAAAGAATGAAATGCAGCATGCATTTTAAATTAAGGTTGGAGAATCTATTAGCTCTAAGACATATCTTTATGAGCTCTATATTCAGTCCCATGCACTGCTGACACACAGAGGCTCAATGGGTATTAATGATCACTACTTTACTTCATTTCAGCAAAGGAATCTCAGTACAAGCAGATTAAGGAAGGAAGCCACGAATCTCAAAATTTTTCATTTTTCTGGAAACTCACACAAAATCAATACTCTTTCTAAGGGCTACATCAAAGGAACGGGCAGTGCCTAACAAATCAAACAAATTTAAATGTGTACCCATTAAAATGGAAAACTATTGATTCTGTGTTACACAGGTTACAAAGTAACCAGATTCTCCTTCCATATTAATACAAAAGGTAAGCACTTATTAAGATGGTTCTTTCACAGCTGAAGTCTCAATACTATTTTCCTTGCCAACAGGACTTAATGGTAAATAACAGTAAGAAAGTATAAAGAAATTAATGAAACTTTTCTTAATGGCTTAAAAAAAAAAACTAAAATTCAACATTTACAGGCTTCCTTCTTTACTTTTAAGTATGTGCCTACTTGCACACAAATTACCTCTACCATATTCCCAAGTTAAAAGAAAATTTTTATAAAAATGAAAAATTCTTTCAATCTTAATTGCAAAGTTATTTGGAACTAAAGTAAAAATATGCCCAACCATCAAGAGGAAAGTATCCTGCAGTTAGTGAAGCCAAAATGACCGTAAATGGGAAAATTAAATAGCAAAGACAGAAAATAATCACCAAACACTGTTGACCCACCACCATGAAGGAAGAACTGCTTGCACAGAAAGCGGACCAAAACCTTGAGATCACCACAGAAACTCATTAGATTTCAGGTACTAAGAAAACTAAGAGCAAAAGAGAAAAATCCTATGAATTATCAAAGTTCAACTATTAAACACAAAACGTGAATAGATGATACAACCAACATGACCACTCAATCAAATAATTCCCAAAGTGACCCGCCTTCCCAAGCCCCATATATTTATGCAGCTAAAGAGTAAACCCAACTGATAAACTCCAACAAACCACAAAGTATCCATATTTGTGTACTTAATATTAATCTGGAAATGTAAATGAACAAAATATCCTTACTTTTGACAGATTCCTTCTCATTTCCAAAAAATGAAATACTAATGTTTTATTTTATTACACTTTAAATCATATTTCTCTTTGGCTTTATATTCAGTTTTTAATGAAGAAAACATATCCTAAGTAGAAATAGCATGTTGTATGGAATAACAAATATTTTCTTTATGGATTTGGGAAAGGTTTCTACTGACTAGCAAGAAGTCTTTCAACAGAAAACCACCCATCATTCCCAGATCATGCTAATCAAAACAAAGACAGCCATCTTATGTTCTTGAGACAACTGCTCCCTTCTTTACCCATATACCTATTTTCCCCATTCCTATGATTGCTCAATATGATACTTTTTTTCAGCACACAAATATGAATAATTTGCTTTCAGTCATACTCATAAACCTTAAAATTGAGAATACAATTAAACAAGCAACAATTTTGATTAAGGATTTAACAAACCATTTCTTGTCATGCTGATCTGTTCCAGAATTCTTTGGAAGATTTTCTATCTCCACCAGCACGGGACCAGAGGATGTGGAAGGAATCACAGACGCAGTAGATCTTAGACCCCAAGTCTTTGGACAAAAATTATAAAAATAATTTATTTTTCCGCATCAATAAATAGAATACTAAAACAGAATACTATATATAGAGTGCAAATAAATGCAATATAAGCAAATGGTTGGATATTATATACGACCTTAGAGAGATAATAATTTAACTGAATGCTAATATTTTATTTATTCTCTAGGACTTATAGCGACAAAATGTTTTATAGGTCATCTGTTTTATTTACAATATCTTAAGAGCAAAATAACAGGGGGAAAGACATTACTGAGCTACTTAAGAGACAAGGACAAGAAAATGCACAAAACTTGCACATGGTTGTACACTATAAAAATCCAGTTAATAATACTATAATTTACTTTAATTAAGTAAACTGTTCTAATATTTTAGAAACTTAATATTGTCTTACCTGTTGGGAATCATTACTCTGGGTAGAAACATTATTGTGAACACTGTAATGGGAGAAAAAAAATCTATTTAAGAAACTATACTTAAAATTCTAGGGCTTTATTTTCTAAGATTATACATATACATTAATGAAAGGAGAGCCTAAGACATCAATGTTCTGGTTCAAATAAAAAATTAAAAAAAAAAAATCAGGCTGGGGATATAGTTCAGTTGGTAGAGTGCTTGCCTTTAAAAAAAATCTACTGCTGGTATCTAAAATTAAGAATGTCAGATGGCCAGAAAACATTTACAGGCAAACACTTGCTTTTCTATATAGGCTGCTCAATTGATCCTTCCATATATATTATAATTCAAGTGTTTTTTAGACACATTTACTTACTATTAATCCTGTTTACTGATTAGACAAAGATGGCAAAACAAAGAGAACACCACAAATGACTCCTTACATTCAAAGCAACCAGCAAAAATAGCCATATAAGCTTATCTGTCACTTTTTTTTGTATATTCATACCAGCTCAAGATTTTCCAGTAAACAACAGCTCAGCTTGTATAACTCTCAAGGCCTTAGTATAAACTTAACCTATTATAGCCCATTGTCCTATACATGACACCTATAAAAACTTAAATTAAGCAATTTTAAAGATATCCTATAAAATTGTTGTCCAATACATGGAACACAATGGGTTAAAGTCAAAAACTTCTGAGTATATACACCTTTTCAAATGATTTATAAATGTTCTAAAATTTTTAGTTTAGTCTGTACTCATTCCCTGCCCTCACAAAAAATATCTTTAAACCTCAACCAGTAATGACAAAATAAACAGAAACTACAGAAAAAACAAAACATTCAACATAAGGATGTGCTATTACCACAACATTAAAAAAAAAAAGTCGCTGACTTCAGACATTCTAACAATTAGTATCTGGGAAGAATTCAATAAAAAACACATTCAAAGTTATAAAAAGGACATTCCTTGAAAGTGAGAAAATAATCTACATATTTAATGAGACCAATGTGTTCCAGAAAATAATAATCATATCCACTGTAAAATTACACCTTCAACAATAAGAAAACTTCATGTATCCAAAAGGGATTTAAAGGCAAATTAAATTCTAGTGTCAGGTTGGCATAAATTCCTCCATAGCAATACAAGAAATTTACCTAACCAAGACATCATTTTAATAATGGAAAATATGCAAATCTCAAATGGGGGGGAAAAAAAAATCACATGAATACAAGCATTCAAAACACCTTCTTAGGGGGTGAGAGAAAATCCAAAATTGCCTAAATATAAAACCCAGCCAATTAAGAAGGAATTCAAGATAAAAGCTTGCTAAAAGACTAGGTAATGAGGAATGATAATTATACAAAATACATGCATGAAGATGTGAATTTGGTGTCAACATACCTTATATACAGAGATATGATAAATTGTGGTATAAAGGTGTATTAAGAATTGTATGCAAAAAAAATAAGAGAGCTCATGTATAATGGCATAATTTGGCACAAACATACTTTATATACAAAAAATTATGCTGTAAATGGATAATTATGAATGTAACACACTCCACTATTGTCATGTATGGAATAAATAAAAAAAGAAAAAAATGAGAAATGAACCTATTTATATCTTATTTTTTTAATAAACTACACTTTAATTACAAGTTGAATTACCAGAATTTGCATTACTGATATTTATGATCAAACCCAAAGTATTGGGGCTTGAGATGGGGCTTGGTAGTAAAAGGTTTGCCTAGTATGTACAAGGCCCCAAGTTAAATCCTAAGCAAAATACACACCAATAATAATCCTACTTCTAACATAGGCATACATGGTACCCTAATCAAATCAGAGTAATTAGCTTTTCTTTTTCTCAATTATTAACAACTATTTTATTCATTTATTTATATGTGGTGCTGAGAATCAAACCCAGTGCCTCAGACATGCTAGGCAAGTGCTCTGCCACTGAGCCACAAAGCCAGCCCAGCAATTAGCATTTGATTGTCCTAATTTCTTTACTTTAAAGTCATCCAGCTTCTCGCTTCTTATAAAATAGCTTAGTTTTTTAAAAAAATCTCTTAATAAAGCCTAATTCGTTTCTCCTCCCCCCATCTAATTTATTAGTCAAAAGTTTATTATTATTGTTTTTATTCATACTATTTGAAGTATTCAGTTTTATGAAATTTGTGCAAAATCAGCCCATTAGTCTACGTAATAGGTGATGGAATTTATGTTTTGCCATTAACACCATCTTAATAAAACATCTTGTTTTATTCAAAATGACTTGACTGAATTTTAAATACATATAGTACTTAATTTGTGTAATGGAACAAAGGATCTAATTTTTCTACATCATAAAATTATTCATTTTGTGTTTTAATATTGTTGAATAAAATTAAAACATTATTAAAAAGAAACTGTTTAGTGTAGATAACATTGCCAAGGCAATTGTATAAAGAATATAGTTACCAGGCATAAGTATAAACCATGTTGTTTACAGAACACATTATGCTAGTTTAAGTAATTCATGATCTCAAACATTAATGAAATCTTATCCAGTCTTCTTAGTAAAGAGTTAGACTCACTAGTCTGTGGTTCCTTTGTTCCTCTATGAAGTTTTCCTTTAACTGGGAATAACTTCAGTAAGCAATAAAGATGAATAACATGAGAAAATAGTACTTATAATAAGTGATGTTAACTGAATCATATCTTCCTATTTCTAAATAATATGGAATGTAGAAAGCACAACTTTCTCTTATTTATATAGGTTATTTTACTTTTAGGAACATTAAAGAATTACTTATTATACCTAGTCTTAGCTTCCCTTATTAAAGGATTACAAGGAGGGAGGGAATAGCAAAAGGGAAACAAAAGTACTAATAAACAAAATGTAAAATGTCCTTTAAAATGTCACCTCTTCTAAATATATTTAATATTAGTTAAGACACACAAATGAGTAGTTAGGAATAGTATAAGAAAAATGACCAATATCAGCCAATTTAGATAAAACTGCAGAGTACAAGGTGAAGAAATATTTTAGGTCAAATAGTTGTGCTCTTTCAAACGCTATTATTTTCCATGGTTCACTGGAGCAAAACTGTTCATGCAAACAGAACAGCAAGGGCAGGAGTGAAAGGGCATGCATGCAAGCGCAAGTTCAGATCCTCTCAAGCACTGTGATGAGTGGTGCTAAACAACCTTCAAGAGTGTCGGGCCTCCCTCTTATTTATAGAACCCTACTGAAAAAAATAATAAGAGTATCATAATCACTCAAATATCCCATTTTCGTTGTTCCCAGGGCTAAAAACATCATTAATGAAGAAATAATATTTAGCAATAATTTAACATTTAAATTAATTTTAATTATAGAAAAGACTACAATTTTAATTATAGAAAAGATGCTCACTTCTTGTTGAAAAATGTATATTTCAGAACATCTTTTGGGGAAAATCTCTTATTTTGCAAATAAAAGCCTTAAGTTTTCTACATAATATGACTGCTTAAATACTAAGTTTACATTTCTACTAACTTCACTAGGTATTCTTTAATATTCTGTCCCAGTCTTCCTTTCAAGAGACTGTTCATTAAACAAACGTGTTTTAAAAAATGCAAAACACCTCTAATCTCTTTCCCCCTTTTTATTAAAAGCGCTATTTGTAAATAACTTTAAGGAAATAGAAGTGTATAGTCCAGAAAAGGCACAAATTCTGTTTTGTTTTCTTGTTACATAAATAAATTCTTACAATAGAATTCCCTGCTTCCTCCTGGCTCTATTCATTTATTTAGTTTCAACAGCCTAGCAGCTGAAGAAACACCATAAGAGTCCTTGCTGGAACAAGCAGAGTGCTTTTATAATGAATTGGTCATCACAGCCTGGTTTTAATAGCTTTCCAAGTGTAAAAAACTGAACATAAAAATTCAAGGTGAGACTGACCATGCTCAAGCACACAAAACCAATCAACTTCTTTTGGAGAAGTTCTAGTATAAATTCAAAAAGAACCTAGATTCGTGGATATGGTATCACTATGACTCTTTCAACGGGTATTCCAGAATTTTCAAGTAAATAATCAGTTTTGAAAAGCATTCTATGAGAATATATACTATAATACACACTATTAAAATTAACAAAGTACAGATGATCTCTGATGAATGTAGACACATGGATCAAAAAATATTAGCAATCCAAATTCAGCAATGTAAAAGAAAGGATTATATAATCAAGTGGAATCCATTGTAAGAATAAAATTGCTTTATTTACAAATCAACCTTTGTTCTTTGAGCTCCTTGCATGTAAAAATAATCTATCTTTAAATCCTCAGTGACTTGCCAATAACAAATGTCATTTTCTCATTAAAAAAAGCATACCTACTCCCAGCTCTATTTCTTTAAACTTGTTTATTTTTCTTCATATCAATTTTATCTGGCATTATCTGTTTTATGTGTTCCCTACTCCTCCCCCCAATGCCTATGGACAACTCTGACACTTCAAAAAGTCTTCAACAAAAGCTTAATAACAGTGGGCTGGGTGGGGATGTGGCTCAAGCGGTAACACGCTTGCCTGGCATGGGCAGGGTGTAGGGCGCTGGGTTTGATCCTCAGCACCACATAAAAATAAAGATGTTGTGACCACCGAAAACTGGAAAAAAAAAAAAGCTTAATAACAGTAACAAACTAAATTACCAAACATTATATATCAATTTCTAAGTAGTAAAACATTACTCACCTGAGTTCTTCAGATTTTGCTGTACTTGCTGTCAGAAGAAAAAAGAAAATATCTCATTAGTTCAATCTTACAAAGTAAATTGCTTCATTATTCAAAATAGAACTTTGACTTGTAACATTTGACTTGTTAACAGTTTTCAAAACTTCATACAAAAAGTGTTCTGGAATTAATACTAGTAAAGTCACAGTGGCAATTACTTCTTTTTCTTTCTTTCTTTTTTTTGGTACAGGGGATTGAACTCAGGGGACCTGACCACTGAGCCCCATCCCTAGCCTTATTTTGTATTTTATTTAGAGGCAAGGTCTCACTGAGTTGCTTAGTGCCTCACATTGCTGAGGCTGGCTTTGAACTCATCATTCTCCTGTCTCAGCCTCATAAGCCTATGGGATTACAGGAGTGCACCACTGTGCCTGGCAATTATTCCCATTTTTTAAATAAAGCAATAAGTATATATAACTTTTAAAAAAAATTTTTTTAAAAATTCTGCAAGTCTCAGAGTAAGCTGATTTTGAACCTGAGAGAGGAAACCAAGAGGTTACTTGAGGATTTTAAATCAATGCCAACTGAAATGGTTTCATTTCTAGTCATATACTATTGATTTATAGTCACACCAACAATTATGGATATAAATCAGTTTTTTTTTTTTTTAATTAATATTGCCAGGAGATTCTTCAGAAAACTTGGAATGGGACCATTCCCAGTTATCCCACTCCTCAGTATATAGCCAAAGGACTTAACATCAGTATAGTTCAGTGACACAGCCACATCAATGTTTATAGCAACTCAATTCACAATAGGTAAGCCATGAAATCAACCAAGGTGCCCTTCAACAAATGAATGAATAAGTTATGGCATGCTAAATGAAATAAGCCAATCCCAAAAAACCAAAGGCCAAATGTTCTGATATGTGGATGCTCACACACAGTAAGGGGGGCCAAGGAAAAAGGATTCGACAAAGGGGAATGAAGGGAAGGGAGTGGGATGGGAACAGGAAAGACAGTAGAATAAATCAGATATAACTTTCTTATTAAGTATATATACAAATACACAACTAGTGAAACCCCACACCATGTACAACCACAAGAATGGGACCCTAATTAGAATAAGTTATACTTCATGTATGTGTAATACAACAAAATACACTCTGTCATGTATATCTAAAAAGAATAAATTTTTTTAAATTATTATTTTTTTAAATTAATACTCCCAAATATCACATCATGGCAGTGTCTGGGTCAATTAGTAAAGACCCTGACATTGGACATAATTAAAATTCAATCTGTATTTTAACAAATTCAGAATTGAAAACAAAATACAAGTTTTATTTATCAGAGTAAACCATGCTTTTTCTTCTATAAGTGCAACTTAGCAAACAGCAAATAACATTTATGAATTTGGAAATATCTACAAATGATATATTAAAATTAAAAACTGTATTTAACAGAATTTTTAGTAAGATTATAATACAATATAAAATAACTTAAACTGAACACAATCTCAGAAATATCAGCTGAATTGGAATTAATATCAAGTTTAATCTCAGCTATAGGTATAGGCAATTTCCCCCATGTAAGCTTATGAAACTTATTGCACTAAAAGAGTACTTCAGTGGGTTAGAATAGCCCTAAAAAGAGAGTCAGGGTTTTCCTCTCAAGTAAACAATACCAGAATATGACTTATTATCAAGAAAGAACAGTCCTTGAAACGGGTTGCACTTCACCTTTCATATGCAAAGTTCGTCTAGAATATCGTTTGCTAGGCCTTCTTTCAAAGGATGTTGATCTTCTTGCTTTACTGGTTTTTGTGGTCTGGTACTCAGTTTTCCCACTAAAATAAATAAGGCGCATCAACAAAAATAAGCATTTAAGGCCTACAATCTTAATAAATACGAGAAAGTCTACATTCAGATTCTCCTTAAAAGAAGTATCCTGATCATCATCCTGAAGGAACTACTACTATTAGTTTTGATTTCCCTCTTAACCACATCATCTTTCACTCTTTAGGCTTTTGAGAATATGTAACAGATTAATTACACTGTGTTTTTCTCCTCAAGCATAAATATTATCTAAAAACATAAAAAAACTACTTCAGAATGTCTATGCTCTTACAGAGTTTGGAATGTCTTCCTAGCCAAATACCTCAAAGTATATAATTAACAAGATTTTCACTTACTTGTTGTAATTGTGATATACTTTTCAGAATTAATTTTCCAGAAACATTTTAAAAACTATTACCTGCTTCTTTGATTTGCACTTAAATTCTGTTAAGAAAATGCCTTCCCACTCTGTTACATAAATTCCCCATGTTTGACTACTGGTACTATCCATTCTTCCTTCAAATCATATTGATTCACATAGCATGTTAAAAACCAAAGAGGGGCTGAGGTTGTGGCTCAGTGGTAGAGCGCTCGCCTCGCACATGAGAGACCCTGAGTTCGATCCTCAGCACCACATAAAAATAAACAAAATAAAGATATTGTGTCCATGTATAACTAAAAAGATATTAAAAAAAAAAAGAAACTAATAATCTAACGTAATGTAAACCAAAACATTTCTAACTCACGATAAACACAAAAGGGGTCTCTAAGAGTAATGTAATTTCAGGTTTACTTTTATTTTTTATTAGTTTTTTAATACATTTATTTATTTATTTATGTTGTGCTGAGGGTTAAACCCAGGGCCTTGCTATGCTAGGCGAGCGCTTCACCACTAAGCCACAACCCCAGCCCCAGAATTTCAGGTATATAGAGGACAGAAATACTATTCAAATTAATACCCCACTTCAGTGTGAAATCTTTTTTCAATATGGCATATAGCTGTTGAACAGAGAAACCTCAAAACAATTATTAAATCAATTTTAAGAGGGTTATTTATTATAATAAATAAAGGTCAAAAGGGATTATAAAATCCATAAGTTACTCTGATTTTCTATCTATTTAAGAAATCATAGCCAATAATACATTTTCTTTTTTATTCTAGCCAATGGAAAGATTTGGCAAACCACTGTATTTCTCCATGCCTTAGTTTCCACATTTGTTAAAGGACAGGGTTGGCCTAATATTCTGGGCTTGGATGAAAAAATGGATGATAGAGGGTTGGGATTGTGGCTCAGTAGTAAAGCGCCTGCCTAACACGTGTAAGGCACTGGGTTGGAGCCTAAGCACCACATAAAATAAAATTAAAGGTATTGTATTCATCTATTACTAAATTTTTTTTAAATGGATGATAGATGTTAGAGAAAACAGCAATTAAACTTGACCTATATCTAAAACGTGATCCTAGTCGAATAAATCCCGAGCGATGAGAACTTTTTTGGACAGGGCCTCGGAGGCGGAAGAAGGCATGATGCTCCACAGCACATTTCCATAAATGTTTGCAAGCTTTTGGATGATCCAGTCTAAAAACAAATGTATGTTCCTGCTCTTTGCCCTAGAAAGAAAGAATATAAAAAGAGGTGATTATTAAGCTGGACATAGTGGTACATACCTGAAATCCAAGCAATTCTGGAGGCTGAGGCAGGAGGATTTCAAGTTTAAAGCCAGTCTCAGCAACTTAGCAAGGCCCTAACAACTCAGCAAGGCTCTGTCTCAAAAATGAAACATAAAAAGGGCTGAGGACACAGCTCAATATTAATCATCTCTGGGATCAATCCTTAGTACAAAAAAAAAAAAAGGTGATCATCAGGTCAAATAGTCCTGTCTCCCATTTCTGTGACACAAATAACAATAACAGCAATACCAAAAAAGAAGCAATAAAGTATCTAGTTTATTCCCTGAAATTCACTTTTCTCTCTTTTGACAGTGCTGGGGACTGAACCAAGAGCCTCATATATGCCAGACAAGTATTCTATCATGAGCTACACCCCAGCCAGAAACTTATTATTTATAGCTATTACACACACACACACACACACACACACACACACACACACACAGAGTTAAAAATCAAACTATTTTCTAAGCTAGTATAAAATTATTCCTAGGAGGACTGGGGTTGTGGCTCAATGGTAGAGCGCTCGCCTAGCATGTGTGAGGCCCTGGGTTTGATCCTCAGCACCACATAAAAATAAATAAATAAAATCAAGGTATTTTGTCCAACTACAACTAAAAAATAAATATTTAAAAAAAATTATTTCTAGGAGTATCCCCTCCACTTACATACTCTCATTTGTCAGAGAAATAAAATTCACCTGTCATTCTTTGTGGTAATTATAAGGTAGGAGCTGGGTATAAAGCTGGGTGGTAGAGTGTTTGCCTGTCATGTGTGGGGCCCTAGATTTGATCCCAAGCATCACAAACAAAAACAATTTAAAGCACTATATATGATCTGGCAATGTGTCAATAGCCCTAAAAAGGCTCACATTTTTTGTCCTACTAACCATAGTCCCAGGAGTCAAATTATAATAGCTAACATTTACAGACTTTTTTTTAATGGATTGCACATGAATAAGGAATAATATCATTAGACTCATTTCATATAAGGAAATAGGAAAGGAAACTAGAATTTGAATCTAGTCAGTGTTGCTCCAGAAGCTATAGTTTTAACAATAAAGTAATACTGTGTCTCTAGGAAAAAATGATTCTATAATTAAACACTGGCACAAATCCACAATGTCCAAAACTCTAATGATCATGTAAATAATGGCAAAATTTTAAAACTATACAGAAAGATAAAGGATTGATGTAACATTATTTATTCATATTACAGAACACCATATATTAGTTAAAATGAATAAACTAAATCTACACAGCCAGAGTGTTTAAATAAAATAAGCAAGCTGCAAGTATATTTATGTTTATGTAAATTTTTCTTTTTTCATTTTCGGTACTGTGGATTAAAACCAGAGGCACTCCACTCTCGAACTACATTCCCAGCCATTTTTGTTTTAAGACAGGGTCTTGCTAAGTTGTCCAGGCTGGCCTCAAACTTGCAATCCTCCTACCTCCACTTCCTGAATTACTGGGATTAAAGGCAATGTACCTCTGCACCCAGATATATCTTTACTATCTATTTCTAAAAGAGATCTTAATCAAAATGCTACAATCCTAGATCCTGAGAAAAATGGGTATTATAATTTTTGTATTTTTCAATTTGCTTGAAATATTTTATAATTTAAACTGTTTTCTCATTTAAAACTATTTTTCAATGCCAATTTCTTTATCATCTTGTTATAGGAAAATATTAAAATATTCTTAAATTCTAAGACACAAAAATGCCAACCACAAAGGAAAATAAATTATGAGCTGTATTACATTGATAAGGTTCTGTTCACCCAAAAGATACTTTAAAAAGAAGGAAAAGAAAGTTAAAGAGAAGATATTTGTACGCTATACCTGACAAAGAATCCCTGAGTTCAATCCCCATTACCATGAAGAAAAATCTAAATCATCCAAAGCTGAAATCGACTTGCAATAACATACCCACCCACTTGAAGTTCATGTAAATTTCTCTACACAAAGTATTACCATTTAAAAAAATTCCAGGCATAAAAATATTAATGTACCAAAAATTCACTTACTATAACATGAAGTGCTTCCCATGTCAATTACTATTTCTCTTCACTAAATAGCATTTTAGTGCACAAAAATGAGAACACATGACCATATATCTATGCACACTTGCAAAGATTATGCACTCCTATCTTACAACTAATCAAACTGTTGCAATTGCTTCTCTACTTATTTCTCCCTCCCACTCCACTCAAATCTGGAGAATATAAAAATTTTTTTATTCATCCTGTTAAGTAAAAAATCTCACACTGTACCAGGAACATAAGCACTCATCACCTTTATTCATAGATGGATAACTTTACAGTCAAAACAGACTACCAAAATGTACCAAGTGAAAAGCAATACTTCCCATTAAGCACCAGCAATCAACACAACCATAACAGGCTTCTAACAAACCACTGCTTCTTTTATATTATTATTATTTTTTTTTTAAAGAGAGAGAGAGAGAGAGAGAGAGTTTTTTAATATTTATTTTTTAGTTTTCGGCAGACACAACATCTTTGTTTGTATGTGGTGCTGAGGATTGAACCCGGGCCGCACCCATGCCAGGCAAGCGCGCTACCCCTTGAGCCACATCCCCAGCATTTATTAATGTTGACCAGATGATAAACTCAAAGACTGTTTGCCAACATGGGTGTTTGTGCTCTTATTAGAGAGATGTGACCAGTGCAGTATCATTATTAAAAATTTGACAAAAAACCATACTCCAAGTTATATAGTAGTAACTTTAAGTAATTGCTACAGTCTTAACCATTTTTCCAGTTAACATATTTAGTTATGTAATAAGCACAGAAAATCATCTGTAAATTACTACCATGATACAGAATACCACCTGATCTTGGCTTTCTACTTATTAACATTTATGTTGAAATTTATGACATTTTCATATTGCACCTTTGTGGGGAAAAATTGGAAAAGAAATGAACAGAAAATGCTGACCAAAAAAAGAAATATAAGTAAGTATGACCAAATATTAACTACTAAAAGATCAAGTTTAAAACAGTAATATTCCATTATCATAAGCGAAATTTTTTTTAAAAATTCAAGAATGGCAAAGTTTTGGTAAAACTCCCATTCTTGTACTTTCACCTACTTTACAATGGTACATCCAAAATATATTACTAATAATAATCAGGAGGAATAAACAAATCATAAATTATAAACATACTGGAAATGTGAATATATGTCTAAATATGATAAAAAATATATAGGAAGCATTTTATTTTTAATATTTTTTAGTTGCCAATGGATCTCATTTATTTATTTATTTATATGTGGTGCTAAGGATCAAACCTAGGGCCTCACACATGCCAGGCAAACGCTCTACCACTGAGCCACAACTCTAGCCCCATAGGAAGCATTTTAAATGGAAGAAGTACAATTTACCTAGGAAAGGAGAGAAAAATCATAACAAAATCTTAAAATCTCTCCAACATTTAATTATAAAAATGTTCAAACATACACAAAAATTGAATACCCACAGAGATACCATGTACTGTCAACAACTATTAGCATTTTACACAGTGTGCTTACATCTGTATCTTTTCATATATCTTTAAAGCTTGTTAATTTACATATAATTTTAGATGTACAATTCTGTGAGTTTTGACAAATATACAGTTGTATAATCAACAGCAAAATAAAGCTATAGAATAGTTCCCTCAACCACCAAATATATCCCTCAGACTTCTGATCTTTGGTAGTCAACCCCCTTCTCAACCTTTAATCCCAAGTAATCAGTGACCTATTTTCTATTCCTACAAGCTTCACCTTCCCAGACTGTCATAAATAAAATCACATAGTATATAATCTTTTTAACTTTTTGCAGTACTGGAGATGAAACCCAGGACCTTGTATGTGCTGTGCAAGCACTCTACAATTGAGCTATATTCTTTTATTTTGAGACAGGGTCTTTAATAAGTTGTCTAAGCTGGCCTGGTACTTAGACTATCCTGTCTCATCCTCCTAAGCAGCTGAGATTATAGTATCCCCAACAGTACTTAATCTTTTTTTGAATCTGACTTCTTTTACATGGCATAATGCATCTGAGATGCATCTATGTTTGAACTGATTAAGAATTACATTTTACTGATAAAATTTGGTAATCCTTAGTTCAAAAGGCTTTGAAGAATATTATTAGGTAGATCTTTTAATTTTTTTAATCAGATATGAAGGGGATATGGTTGCTTAAATTTATATTTTTGCATACCTCATTTATATTATACATGAAAAAACAAAGAACAAACTTTAATTATATTAATTATATTATCTTTAATCTTAATAGCAGAAATCCATATATATTTTAGATGTAGATGGACACAACACAATGCCTTTATTTTTATGTGGTGCTGAGAATCGAACCCGGGTCCAGCCTGTGCTAGGCAACCACTCTACCGCTGAGCCACAATCCCAGCCCAAATTTTTAAAATGGTATGACCTAAATCAGGAACTTCTTTATACAAAGTTTTTTCTATGACTGTGTAAAACAATGAAACATGTTGTGATTGGTATCCCCCCTTATAAAGATATGTTGCCAAGGTCATGCATCTAGAATCCTTGGAAGACTGAGACAAGAGGATCACAAGTTCAAAGCCAGCCTCAGCAATTTAGCAAGAGCCTTAGCAAGAACCCAAGCAAGATCCTGTCTCAAAAAAATAAGAACGGCTAGGTGTGTGGTTCAGTGGTAAAGCCCCCCGGGGTTCAATCCCTGGCAACAAAAAAAATAATAATAATAAAATAGAGATATTAATTAGTATAACATAGTTATTGTTAAGCAGTTAATACAACAAAATTCCTACCTGATCATCATCTTCTACAACCACTAAGGTTATTTTATTCTTCTTAAAATCCATTCTGGTTATCTTGGGCCTAAAATATAAGACAAACAGCCAGATTAAAAAATGTTTTTATTTCAAGTGTATTTAATCATCTAACTCCTGAACTGAATACTAAAAGGGTAAATATAATCTATACTACCTATCAAAAAAAGTCTACTCTAAAAGAAAAAGGAAAATACATATTTTAAAAACAATACCTTTATCAAAATTGATGCTACATATACATAAGACATTAAAAATGTAAAGGAAAAAAAGAAAATGAAGAAATTTATGTATTTCACAGACCCCCAACTATGGTGTAAAAGATTCCCCAGGCACAGATAAAATTATTTCAGTGTTAAAGAAATATCACAGGAATGGGATACAGGAAATATCATAAAGCTTAAAATGTCATGTAGGAAAATATTATTGATCAGGGTCTTCAATTTTTGTCTTCTACAGCAATTTTGTAAACCAAAGTGCTTAAACAGGATATACATGTTTTTTAAAAGTTTTTTTTAAAAAACCTCACTGTATGGTCCACTTTCTAACTCCATCTCTCCAAACTGTACCAGAAATCTAAACCACTTGCCACATTTAACTCTGTATTTCTATGAATTGTGAATGTCAGAAAATTTGACTCTCACTCCCAAAGACTAATCTTTAAATTTTTACAACTTTATGAGGAAGCACAAAAGGTGGCCTCTTTTTCTCTCTGCCTTAGAGTATCCTCAGGCCACAAGGCATGTTTCAAAGCAAGCCGAATTCCAAAGAATTAACAACCAAGGACTGAAAAGATAAATGCTCCAGCTTCTTCATCCATCAAGGTAAGATTGTAAAAATGTTCCACTCAAATCTCAAGAAAATCCCTACAAGGAAGACCTGAATGTACATTTCAGTTTAAGTAGAGGGCTGTGAGCTAACTGTTCTGGCCTATTTTGTTTTTGGTCCTGGGAATTGATCCCAGATACTTGGCCACCAAACCACATCCCCAGACCTTGTTCTGGCCTAATGTAAAGAATTCAATAACATCAAAGAATCAAGAGGCTGGTGTTGTGGCTCAGCAGTAGAGCGCTTGCCTCCCACATGTGAGACCCTGGGTTCGAGCCTCAGCACCACATAAAAATAAGTGAAATTAAACAAGGAGAGAAATGAATTACAGTAGATGGGGTAGAGAGAGAAGATGGGAGGGAGGGGAGGGGAGGGGAGATAGTAGAGGATAGGAAAGGTAGCAGAATACAACAGTTACTAATAGGGCATTATGTAAAAATGTAGATGTGTAACCGACGTGATTCTGCAATCTGTATTTGGGGTAAAATTGGGAGTTCAAAACCCACCTGAATCAAATGTATGAAATATGATATGTCAAGAGCTTTGTAATGTTTTGAACAACCAATAAAAAAAATAAATAAAAATTAAAAAAAAAAATAAGTGAAATAAAGGTTTTATGTCCAACTACAACTAAAACATAAATATTAAAAAAAAAAAAAGGAATCAAATAACAGGGCTGGGGCTGTAGCTCAGTGGCAGAGTGCTTGCACTGGGTTTGATCCTTAGCACCACATAAAAATAAATAAAGGCATGCTGTTCATCTATAACTACAAAAAGTTTTTAAAAAAATCAAATAACAGAGAGGCCAATACACATGAGCCACCTTTGACTCATGTCTATAACACCAGTACACTTCTAAGCATGGTACAAGTTGTGACATAATAATGTAAACACTATTTCCTGATTTTTAAGCTTTTAGAACACCAGATAAAACCTGAAAGACTAATGGTTATAAAATCCATAAAATCTATCCTTGATGTAAAAGTAAAATGTAAAGTATGGATGATAAAAGTGAGAACACAGAAAAATGAACCAAGTTTAAAAGAAGGGGTAAAAGTACTAACAGCTCCCCTCCCTCTTACATAAGAAAGGGTAAAGAGTATGTCTACAGAACAAAAAACAAACTAAAACCTTAAAAATAAAAATAGTAATATAGCAGCATAAAGGGAAGGAGTGCCCATGAAAAACATTAAATAAATACAAAAATATATAATATTAAAACATACTTTGACACACTTTGAAACTAATAGAGAATACAGCTTAGAAAAAAGGGCTGGGGATGTAGCTCAGAGCACCCCAAACCCAATCCTTAGCACCACAAAAAAAAAAAAAAAAAGAAGGTGATGAAAGAAGACAGTTGCTTTTCATTTACAAACTTTTCAGAACTACGTGATTTTTCCAACTATATTTCATGTATTCATTTGACATAAATGTTTTTATTAGCTGGGCATGGTGATGCATGCCTGTGTGATCCCAGAGACCTGAGAGGCTAAGGCAAGAAGATCCCATGACCAAGGCCAGCCTCGGCAATTTAGCAAAATCCGTAGTAACCTAATGAGACCCTCTCTCAAAATTTAAAAAAATCAAAAGGACTGAGGATATAGCTCAGGGGTCAAGTGTTCCGGGGTTCAATTCCCACTACAAAAAAAAAAAAAAAAAAATTTAAACAATTTTACTCATTAAAAACAAAACAGTAAGTATCTGTGAACTGTAACTCTGCTTACCAAAAAAATAAGCCAATCTTGGTGTCTCCTTCAAAAACAAGGACTCCTGTTGGGGTCAGTCCCAAACTATAGTCATTCCCATCTCTAGCCTAATTTAACAAGAAAAAAATGCGTTAGTTCTATTTGCCTAAAACAGGTTTCACATTTTCATGTAACTGTTCAATTTTATTTTCATGCTGAATATATTAATTACATCCATACAGCTAATATTAATATGAAAGATGTTTTCAACAATTAGCATATCCAAATCCATTCTCTGGAAAATCCATGCATACATACAGTGTCTGAAATACTACACAGTAATCCCATTTATCCACAGGGGCTATGTTCTGAAGTTCCCAGAAGATTCCTAAAATCACGCATAGTACCTAAAGCTAGAATTGCTATGCTTTTTTCCAATACTTATATACTTATTATAAAGTTTCATTTATAAATTAAGCACAGTAAGAGGTTAACAATAATAGAACAATTTTAACAATATGCTGTAATAAAAGTTATATGGTCTCTTCTCTCAAACTGTATCTTATTAGTTGGGAAAATTTCTATGTAATATTTTTGGAACTTCGTTGACCATGGATAAATGAAACTGAAGAAAGCAAAACCACGGGTAAGTGAAGGACTACCACAGTTGTAAGGCATGTCTTCAATGAGAGTGAGTAGTTAAACTCCCAATATGAAGAAAGCTCTTTCCAGGGTCCTCCTATAATTCTACCTGCCACTTAAATGACAAATTTCGAAATGTTGCTAATTTACCTAGAAATAACACAAATCACTATTGTTTATATTTTATCAAAGACCTCTCAAGTTATATTTTCTTTCTTTTTTTATACTTTAAAAAATAATTTGTTTTATTTGTTTATTTTTAGTTGTAGATGGACATGATATCTTTATTTTTATGTGGTGCTGAGGATCCAGTGCCTCATATGTGTGAGGCAAGTGCTCTATCACTGAGCTATAGCACCAGCACCTCAACCTATATTTTCAACTTCACTTCCTTAATTATTTTAACAGAGCCTACTGAGTAATGAAATTAAGTGGCATAATATGAAGTAAAAAAAAAAAAAAGTGGTTTAAAAATCTTAAAAAACAGCAATTTTTCCCAGCTAAAAATATTAAGAGCTTAGAAACACCTATATACTTCTTTTAATTTTTTTTCTTCTTTCTTATGAATTGTCCTATGCAATTCCAGTCATTCAATATTTAATCTCAACCTTGTTTTAAAATCGTACATCTATCCAAAAGTATCCTTTGCTAGCTAGCATATGTAAACTCTATGCTCTCGCCTATATACAAAATTCATAATCACCTTAAGTTCCAAAGGAACCAATTTTTTTAAAGGCACCACAACACAATGCTTACCTTGACCACATGCATGTCAACCCCATACATTTCTAGCCATTTGGCTTTATTCAGATAATTGGTTTCAGCTTGTGCTGGTGTCTGACCTCTAAAAATTAAAATATAACTTTTAAAATAATAATATAAAATGAATTCTCTATCAAAGAAGAAAACTGGTATGAAATAACTATTGTGGTGATGTTAAAAAAGTGTGATCAAATGTCAAGTACCTGTATTCTTTCCATTTCTCAAAAATAGCCAGTTCCATTTCTTCAGTCTGAATGGGCACAAACCTGAACTCAGAGACAAGTTCAGGACTGTGTTCAGCAAGATCATAGTCACCGAGTTCAGCTACAAACATAAGGTACACAAAATTACATCGTGTTAATACTAATTAAATTTCCTGCAGAATCCTTCAAAATCTGTTTTATAAAAAATTGTTGGGGAGATTAGATTCTTTTACCAGTCTGTACACAAACATTTCCTCCCTCCCTCCCTCTCTTCTTCCTTTCTTCCTATTTCTTCTTTCTTTCTTTTTGGTACTAGGGATTGAACCCAGGGACACTTAACCACTGAGCTACATCCCTAGTCCTTTTTGAGTCAAGGTCTTGCTAGGTTGCTAAAGGTCTCACCTGAGGCTGGCCTCAAACTTGATATCCTCCTACCTTAGCCTCTGAATCACTGGAATTATAGGCGGACACCACCACACTCAGATTTTCTGTTGTTGGTGGTGGAGGGATACTGGGGATTAAACCAAGGGGTACTTTACCACTGAGCTATATCTCCAATCCTTTGAGACAGGATATCACCAAGTGGCTGAGGCTGGCCTCAGACTGACTCAACTCCTGACTCAACTTCCCAAGTCACCGGGATTACAGGCATATCTTTCTTTTCATTTATTCATAGTCTAATGCTTAGCTTTTTTTAAATTTATTTATTTATTCTACTAATGCTTAGCTTTGAAAGTTACTTTCTAGACTTACATAGAACAATCTTTTGACTTGATAATGAGTACATTAGCAATTCTCAAAAAAACATTTAGCTGGTATCTATAAAGAATCAAAGTAATGTCACAGAACACAATACCATGTAACACTGTAAGGTATAGTCCCTGTGTTCTTAGGATGTAAAAATATTAATCCTAAAGAAGTAACAGGTTGGGCATGGTGGCACATGCCTGTAATCCCAGCAGTCAGAAGGCTGAAGCAGGAGGATCTCGAGTTCAAAGACAGCCTCAGCAACAGTGAGGCACCAAGAAACTCAGTGAGACCCCGTCTCTAAATAAATACAAAAAAGGGCTGGGGATATGGCTCAGTGGCTGAGTGCCCTTGAGTTCAATCCCCAGTACCAGGGGGAAAAAAAAAAAAAAGAAATAACTCAGAATTACTGAAAATAAAGTTGGGAGAGGGAGAAGAAAAAGAGCAGTGCATAAACATTTACATACTCATCTGTGCTTTTCTGAACTTGTTGGTTTGGAGAGAAAAGAAAAATACCATAGCAGAGTTTTCTATATTTTTGACATGTTCTTTTAAAAGAATATTTCACTTGTATTAGAAAGTTAAAATTTTGGGGGGGATAGTAGAGGATAGAAAAGGTAGCAGAATACAACAGTTACTAATATGGCATTATGTAAAAATGTGGATGTGTAACCGATGTGATTCTGCAATCTGTATTTGGGGTAAAAATGGGAGTTCATAACCCACTTGAATCTAATGTATGAAATATGATATGTCAAGAGCTTTGTAATGTTTTGAACAACCAATAAAAAAATAAATAAAATTAAAAAATTTTAAAAAAAAAGAACCTGACCAAAAAAGAAAGTTAAAATGTTTTTAATTCTACTAAGTCTAGTTGTGGATATATATATATATATATATATATACACACACACATACATGAGAAGTATCTCGACATATTAAATAACAATGGTAACCACTCATTTTCTATTGAGTTTGTATTCCACACAGGGCATGTATTTACTGATCACTACTGTGACTTAAGTTATGTTAAAATTAAAAAGGGGGGCTGGGATTGTGGCTCTGTGGTAGAGTGCTCGCCTAGCACTTGTGAGAGGCCCTGGATTCAATCCTCAGCACCACAAAAAAATAAATAAATAGATATTGTGTCCAGTTATAACTAAAAAATAAATCAAAAACTTTTAAAAAAATGTTTTCTTAAACCCTATTTTCAAGAAGCACGTACCATATTCCATGTGTATATGTCAAAATACACTGTCATGTGTATCTAAAAAAAAATTTTAAAAAGAAGCGTGTACTCTGGTTGTCATAAAACTTACAGAATGAGATACAAAAAGAATATATGAGGCAACAAATAGTATAACATTCTGAAAATGACAGCTTTACAGTATATCAAAGCTTTTAGAATTAACAATCTTATATAGAAATAATGAAATATAAGTGTGCTTTCAATAAAATATTTGTGGGTGAGGGGTGTAGCTCAGTGTACTTGCCTAGCATGCATAAGGCCTTGGATTCCACCCCTAGCAGCACAAAAATAAATGGGCAACTAAACTTTTCTAATCATTAATACCAGCATTTCCAAGCCAGCATCTACCTGATATTATGTAGTTGAGAACACTAGTTTTAATTTGGAGATAGAATAGAATCGTAAAAAGAAGCAGGACAATAAAAATTTACATTAATGAAAAATTTCTGAAATACAAAAATTTCATTACCAATCCCCAAATCAACGGGAAAATGTGCTTTCTTCAATATTGAATGCACAAATGGGCAAACATTAAGTTTACCATAGGACATAAAAAAAAATTAGTACTATTATCTACACAATGGCAAATAAATACTACTGATCTTGGGGACTACGGAACACTAAAAAAGCATAGAACTAGACTTGATCATCATTAAGTACTATTTTTTTTCTTTTAGTATGTATAAAGATGTTGCTAGCAAAGTATTTCCTTTTGCCTTGGGAAAGACTAAAGTTTTTTTTTTTTTATTCTTTAATAATGTCTTAAAAAAAAAGAATTCTTTTTTTTTTTTTTTTCCTGGTGCTGGGGGATAGAACCCAGGGCCTTGTGCATGTGAGGCAAGCACTCTACACCAACTGAGCTATATACCCCAGCCTTTTAGAAGAGAATTCTTAAGCTTAGTACTGTTTAATCAATGTTGCAAGGTACAAAAATAAGCTTTTCATTCTCATTTATTAGAATTAAGAGAATACTTTATAAAATGACCATCAGGAGCTTTTTTGGGATGGGGAGGTGGATACCAAGAATTGAACTCAGGGATACTCAACCACTGAGCCACATCCCAGCTCTTTTTTTGTGTTTTATTTACAGACAGAGTCTCACTGACTTAGTTGCTTAGCACTTTGCTGTGGCTGAGGCTGGTTTTGAATTCTCGATACTCTTGCCTCAGTCTCCCAAGCAGCTCGGATTACAGGCATGCACCACTGTGCCCAGCTCAACAGGAGATTTTAAGTATACTCTAAACAATTCCTTCATGGATTCATTTTTAAGATTAAAGAGTCTAATGCAGTGGAACATGCCTGTAATTCCAGCATGTTCCACTGTGAGGGACAGTGAGGCAAGAGAATCCCAAGTTCAAGTCTAGCCTCAATAACCTAGCAAGACCAGGTCTCAGATAATAAAAACGGAAAAGGATGGAGCTGGGGTTGTGGCTCAGTGGTAGAGCTCTTGCCTAGCATGTGTGAGGCAATGAGTTCAATTCTCAGACCCACATATAAATAAATAAAATAAAGGTCCACTGACAACTAAAAAATATTTTTAAAAGGGGGAGGATGGGGATGTAGCTTTAGTGGTAGAGCATCCCTAGGTTAAATCCCCAGTACCAAAAGAAATCACCAACAAAGAATAAAACTAAATACATCAAAGCTAGCAGCTATAACAATAACTTATTCATGTATCACTGCATTCTTTTTAAGGAGGGAAAAAATCAGCTTAGGTCCCAATCATGACATTTATTGAACTGTCAGACTGTAACTGTTATTTGACAACAATATAGATGGAAAGGGGCAAAGAAATGAAAGGAAATAAAAAGAAGATAATCCTCTAAAACAAATGAAAATAAAAGTCAGAGTTGGACACTGACAAGTTTAAACAAAAACAGCATTCTTTTCTTACACACGATTATACTCTTGAAATTCTTTCACTAAAAACACAAAAAAGAATCACGCTTTAGTCTTAGAATAAGCACAGGAACTGCTTACTTACCTTGCAGATTATAAGCTGCCAATTGTACTGCTGTATCAAAAGGACATTCTAATCTAAGAACAAAATAGAAATTTCTTGTCAATTTCATAACCTACATTTTAAGGTTCATTTTAGCCATCACTTTAAGAAAATAATACATATATTATGTTGACTATTTCCTTTTCATAATTATAAACTTATTTTGAAAATAATTGACTACTCATAAAAATGTACAGTTATTATTACTAAGTAACTAATACTTACTTTCCACTGAGAATATCTTGTTTTAACTGAAGAACAAATAAATACCTAAGAAAAGATAAAAGGCAGAAATTTAACTAAAGGTAACAAACTACTCTGAAAAAAAAATCCATCCAAATTTGAAAACACTCTTAATTCTAGAATTTTACCCACAATAAAATATTTAAAAGAAAATATAGAGGGCTGGGGATGTGGCTCAAGCGGTAGCGCACTCGCCTGGCATGCGTGCGGCCCGGGTTCGATCCTCAGCACCACATACAAAGATGTTGTATCCGCCGATAACTAAAAAATAAATATTAAAATTCTCTCTCTCTCTCTCTCTCTCCCCCTCTTAAAAAAAAAAAAAAAAAAGAATGGGCTCTGAGGCTGGGCACAGTGGTACATCACTGCAATCCCAGCGGCTGGAGAGGCTAAGGCAGGAGGTTTGCGAGTTCAAACAGCCTCAGCAATGGCGAGGCACTAAGCAAGTCAGTGAGACCCTGTTTTTAAATAAAACACAAAACAGGGATGAGGTGTGACTCAGTGGTGGAATGCCCCCGAGTTCAATCCCTGGCGAAAAATAAAAAATTTTTAAAAAGAATGGGTTCCGTGACAACATATCCACCTCCTATCTGAAGGGATACAGACATGGGCATGACTCTGAATAACAGCTATAATCTCACTGTCATATATGCAATAGAGTCAATAAATTAATATCAAGAAGGCAGAATAAAATAAAGTGCACATAACCTAAAGTTTGTTCAAAACTATTCAAACTATCTCAGGATCTAACATTTTCATTCATCAATGACATCTTAATGAATAAGCAAAGAAAGAAGCCACCCAGGCATTGTGATATAGGCCTGTAATCCATATGACTCAGGAGGCTGAGGCAGGAGGATCACAAATTCAAAGCAATTTAGGGAGATCCTGTCTCAAAATAAAAAATAAAAAGGGTTGCAGATGTGGCTCAGTAGTAGAGCACTTACCTAGTACCCAAACAAGGCTGAGGCATTGAGTTCAATCCCCAGTACCATAAAAACAAAAGAAAGTCAGGCACCAACTTGACTAAACCCCCAATGACCAAAGATAGATTTTCAAAGTCAATAAACACAATATTGCAATGTATTGAAAACAGTACATAAAAAAAGAATTTTCTATAGTTGCCTTTGGAGGATGCTCAGGAATCAACTATTTCAAAAGCCTACTCTGGAAGCCAATAAATAAGCAGAAAAAAATCATATGCATTAAAAACGTTGTTCCAGAATAAAATTCTACTGTCTATGGTTTTGTTACCAAGGGATCCATTTCATTAGTTTTATATAAACTAGAAAGAATCCTAAGACATTTTTCCAATACCATCAAAATAACCCTATATAAGGGGATGGCGCTGTGGCTCAGTGGTAGAGCACTTGCCTATCATGTGTGAGGTACTGGTTTTGATCTTTAATACCACATAAAAATAAATAATATTTGAAAAGGTATGTTCATCTACAACTAAAAATATTAAAAAATATATATATATATATAGCTCCACATAGTGGTCTTACCGGGTTAGCTCTTCACGAAGATTATTTGGTTCTGAGGAATAAAACTTAACTCGAAGATGCAGACAATACGGTGAACCAACTGCAATTATAAAAGAAAGAAAAAAGTTTTGACTTTTATTATTATTATTTTATTTTAATTTCACTATTTAATAATCTTCAAGACATATACAGTGGTGCATGCCTATAATTCCACCTACTCAGGAGGATTCCAAATTCAAGCTAAGTCGGTAACTTGGTGTGATGTGTCTCAAAACAAAACAAAAAAAGGGCTGAGGAGGTAGCTCCTGGGTTCAACATCCAGTGCAGCAAAAATAAACAAACAGAAATAATTTCAGCTAGTAAATTTGCTGAAAATATACTGGAATTGGACAGGCAATAACAGGTGCCTGTGATATTATTTAAAGTTTGCCACAGTCTTAAACTTGACACAAAAAGATCAATCAGTAGATTTTTTTTTTTTAAGAACTAACTATAACATAGTATTATCATGATCACCTGTCATCTCAAGAATAGAAGACCATAGATTAACCAAGTCAGGAAACTGAGGCAGGAGGATCACAAATTTGAGGCCACCTCAGCAGTTTAGCAAGATCCTTTCTCAAAATAAAATTAAAGAAGGTTATAGCTCAGTGGTTGGAGCACCCCTGGGTTCAATCCCCAGTACAGCAAAAAAAAAAAAGACTTTTAATATCTTTATAATAAGAGTTTCTAAAACAGTTGATTTCCACTTTTCTGCAATTTTAAAAACACTTACTTTTCACTTGCTTTTTGATGCTTTTTGTGCCATCCAACCAGTGCTGAAAACAGATAAAATAATTCAGTATAAGCAGATGACAGAATTTTACAATTTTAATTAAAAGTTTTTTTCATCAGGACTTTGTTGAGAACCACAATGAAATATTTACCCAGGGAAAAACCAATGAGTGAAAATTAAAGGAAAAAAAGAGCAGGAGAGAGAGATTTTAGATCTCAATATTCATAGCAAGCTTATCTCACATACAAATAAAAGATCTAAAACCTGATGTGACTTCTTAAAACATTTCCTCTAGTCCCCTATTAACAAGCTTGAGAGTTGAAGTTTGCCCTTAATTTTCCTCACTGCTCCCAAATAAATGAATCTTTCAAAACTGTTAAAATTAGGAAGAAAAGGACCTTCATATTTCAATGCCTGGTTAATCCTTTTAATAAAAAAAAAAAAAAATTTACTAGCAGATCCTAACAAATAATTAAATAAAACAACAATGTCACCTAAGTTTTACAAAACAGATTAAGTTTTACAATACTACTCAAAAATATTCTTTGAAAAAAAAACCCTGTAAGTTAAAATATTTTTCTTATAACTAAGGTAATTATAACTCAGTAAATTGCTCATTAAATGAAGCACTCATTGTTCATTTGCTTTATAAATAAATAAATAAATCTTTAACACTCTAGCAGATTCCTCATTGCAAGAACCTTCTGATTTATATAAATAACCTCTTCACCTAAAACGCCACAACACAAACAAACCTAAAAACACATTCCAGAAACTTCTACCGACAAACCATTCCCAGCTCATTTCCCATTATTAAAACTTTACACCACAAAGTCCTAACAGTGACAGTATGTACTCATCTAAGAAATACGTGACTGAGTTCTCTTCAGCATGTTTTTAATTTCAAGTACTGTAAAGGAAAGGAGTGTTCTTGTGCTAAGTAGTTCACAGAGCCAAGGAATCCAGTTTCAGAATCCAGATAGGCAAAGAGTAAACAAGGCTGCATTGTTGAGAGTTGTAATTATTTGCTCTCCTTGCCAATTATGTGCCTAGTTTACTCTTTCTCTCCATTCCCTTCCCAAATCCAAAAGTGAAATTCAAAGAACAACCAGTATGCCAGAAGAGTGCTTTTCTACCTTGAAATATGATGTTCAGTAAACATTTCAAAAGGCAATTAAATTCTGTCCAAAGTTTCTTTGGATTCCAAGTATGTAGGCTACTTGGGCATCTCTAATTTTTAATACTTCAATCTACTAAATGTTCAGTTGAAACATCTCTCCATATTAACAAAACATTAGTCCTGCCAGTAGGCTGAACATAACATCAATCTATTAGTAGAGAACTTGAACCTAGAACAGCAATTAGTACACCCATCCCTAATCAGAAAGCCAAAATCCAAAAATCCCAGATGTAAGCATCCCCCAAACCCACTACAACCTAACTAATGCCAATCACATACTGGGTATGAAATAAAACTAGTTTTCATGCTCAGAATGTTTTCTCCAAAAAACCATGGATATGGGAATTGCTCTATTTTCATGCTTTATCCTTTATCTTACACTGAAAACACTAAGACTGTAGGCTAGTCACCTGGATACCCTTTGATGTAGCCTTGGTTAGGGAGATTCTCATATACCATAATGAGTGCAAATAAGCACAATCCTTCCAGGAGGGGGGAATCTGGCTGGACAGTAGCTAATGTCTCAAAAGTATCTATGTGTACTTGATCCAGCAATTCTACACCTAAAATCATAATGTATGTGTATAGATCTACCTACAAGGAATTAGATAAAGTTGAAACAATCTATATATACAACAACAATGAGTAAAATAAAGTATTTAAATATGCTAGAGCAACATGCAGCAATTAAAAAGAATGAAGGTTAACACTTAAGATCTGGAAGATATATTAAAAAAAGATATTCTAAGTTAACTAGTATATCACAAAGCATAAAATTTTTTGCCAAACTGTACAAAACTGTATATTTTTTTTTTTGAGAGAGAGAATTTTTTAATATTTATTTTTTAGTTTTCGGCGGACACAACATCTTTGTTTGTATGTGGTGCTGAGGATCAAACCCGGGCCGCACGCATGCCAGGTGAGCGCGCTACCGCTTGAGCCACAGCCCCAGCCCAAAAAAACTGTATATTTAAACATGAATTTTCTTTCAGGCTGAGACAATATAACAGAGATGTTATCTCTAGGTTAATTAAGATGCTGATGATTTTTTTTCTTCTTTGTGTTTTCTTACTCTATAATAAACATTACTTAAAACAATAACCACAAACCCCTTTAATATTTTACATAGCAATAAAATTGATATATGGATATTGCCTAAGATTAAATATGTGGTAAAAAGTACAAGGCCAAAGTCCCCTCACACAACCCTGTTCCCCAAATTGGACATACACCCCACTCCAGTGTTACTGATTTTTCTGTTTCTTCAAACAGGAAAGAAAAAAATATTTTAAAACATATGTGGGTTAAGCCAGGCACAGTAGCACATGCCTGTAATCCCAGTGGCTCATGAGGCTGAGTCAAGAAGATCACAGGTTGAAGGCCAGCCTCATCAATTTAGTGAGACCCTGTCTCAAAATAAAAAAATAAAAGGGGCTGGGAATGTAGCTCAGTGGTAAAGTGCCCCTGGGTTCAACCCTAGTACTAAATACATTATTAAAAGGATAAGAACTAGTAAGAGTGAAGGGGCTAGGGATGTGGTTCAGTGGTATAATGCTCGACAAGCACGTGTAAGACCCTGAGTTTGATACCCAGCACTTCAAAAGGAGGGGAGGGGGCAGAACAATGCCCTGAAAAATCAAAAAGGCTAAATATAAACTTTGACATAACAAATTTTGAAGAAGGAAACATTAATATAGACCAGTTATACTAGAATCTTTCTTAAATTTTTTCCCTGGTCAGAACTATTTAGGACTAGTCTCATAATACACCTTTCTACTAATTCATACAGTCCTACCAAGAAGCACATTACACATAAACTCATTCCAGTGAGAAAAGGGTCTAGAGCTATCTTCCAAGCAGGCATTTCAGCCTCTTGGCTACCTGCATGTAACAGCTTCTAGTATTTGCCCTCCCATAAGACTCTAGATAAAGCATCAAACACATTTTACAGTAAAGATTTAGGAGCTGGGGGAGTTCTGGGTGACTTTCTTCTGGGAAAGGTCCGAGTTCATGTTTGCATATTCTCAAATCTGTTTTCTTTCATCCCCTCCACATTCCATGTCCAAGGACTGGAAAATTCAGAGTTCCCAGATAGGCATTCATAGTATTTTCCTTAAATAAAGGTCTTTAGGAGTTGAGTTTAAATTATGTGAGAAGATGAAAGTGAGAACATGCAGATACAGATTCTTGGGTGCTTGGTGTGAAACTAACAAGGTTCTCTTTCCTTGCTGTACTTTAAAAAGGAAACAAATTCCCTTCTAACTTCCTGTTTTTAAAAATTTAATTGATAGACATCAAAGGATGCAGAAACCCATATTTCTTTCCATCCTATTGAGCTATGGAAGAACAATTGTTGACCTGTGTGTCTTAAGATATGAATAATAAGCCAGGCGCAGTGGCAAATGCCTGTAATCCAGAAGCAGGAGGATCAGCAACTTGGCGAGGCCCTAAAGCAACTTAGCAAGACCCTGTCTCTATAAATACAATAAAAAATAAAAAAGGGGGTTGGGGATTTGGCTCAGTGGTTAAGTGCCCTGAATTTAATCCCTGGTACACCCCCAAAAAAGTTATGAATATGTAATTATAAGCACAACAGAAATAACTAAACCAAAGAATTACACAGGAATTTGTACATATACAAATCCTCATCTTAGGCCCTCCAAATCAAATAATCTGTAGACAGCTCTTCAAAGATTCCTGCTTTCTAAACACCTGCAGGGCTGACTAAAGAAATGCATCATTACCCTTGTTCAAAGTGCAAAGAGCATAAAAGCAGTGAAATGTTAACTATCTCTCAAAACAATTGCCTCTGCACAAAAATTTTTCTTCTGTGAGTAGGGACTTATACTTTGAATTTAAGAATTATTTTAAAACAAATTTTAACATCTTAAACAATTCTAGAAGATGTTAAAAATCTGTACTACAAAACCAGAATACCTGGTATTGCTATAATCTAACCAAAAACAATCTACTACATGCAAAACCACCACAAAGCACACTGTCTATAGTGAAAACAGCACTATACTTATAAAATACCTAAACTGAAATCCAATCTCAAAAATCACTAGACCACACTTAGTGAACAAAACTAAATCAGTGAACAAATTAGAACAAAGTGTTACCTTTCCTACACCCACAATTACTAAGTGACATAATAAGTACAATGAATTATATACAAAAAAAGGGTTGGGAGTGTGGCTCAGTGGTTGAGTGCCCTTGAGTTCAATCCCCTGTACTTCCCCCTCCCCCCCGCAAAAAAAATACACATAAAAAAATAAAAAAAGAATATTTAGGGCTGGAGATTTGAGGTACTAGGTTCGATCTTCAGCACCACAAATAAAGAATATATATATATTCTTTATATACATATATATATATATATATACATATATATATGTGTGTGTGTGTATGTATATATATATATATATATATATATATATTAAGGTATTGTGTCTATCTACAACTAAAAAATATTTTTAAAAAATTATTCACAACGTAGCTCTTTATAATACAGCAAAATAAATATTAGCTGAAACAAATCAACACTGTATAGATAAGAGCAATGATATCACTACTCATATGCTTACATGAAATTTAATTTGGCAACACCATCATTTAAAAAACAAAGGAAGCAAAATCAGAGTACTGAAAAAGATTTACAAAGATGACCAATTTCAGAATATTCCTAGTCAAAAATTATAAACAATCAATATTGGGCAGCAAGAAGTCCAATAGTTTTTGTGAATTCAAAGTTATTCTCTTTTGGGGAGGGCAGGGGAGAGTACCAGGGATTGAATTCAGGGGCACACAACCCACCAAGCCACATCTCCAGCCCCCTTTTTTGTATTTTATTTTGAGACAGGGTCTCACTGAGATGCTTAGCACGTCGCTTTTGCTAAGGCTGTCTTTGAACTCACGATCCTCCTGCCTCACCCTCCTGAGCAGCTGGGATTACAGGGGTGCACCATCACACCTAGCAACAATAGAATTTTGAGAAGAAAATGTACATGTAAATCATCGTAACCTTATTATACACACAGGTTGTTGGTAGGACACTAACAGCATAAGCAGCCAAAGAAAAAGTAAATAATTAGATTCCATTAAAATCAAACACTTTTGTGCAAAGAACACTCAAAAAAGTTGGGGGAAAAATACAAAATAAGGAAAATATTTGCCAATAATACATCTGAGAAGGACTTGGTACCAGAAAATATGAAGAACTCTTATAATTCAAAAGTAATAAAGGCAAACAATCCACTTAAAAAGAAGACAAAGGACGTGAATAGACATTTCTCCAAAGAAAATATACAAATATTTGATAAGTGCATGAAAAGATGCCCATGTCATTAATCATGAGGAAAATTCAAATCAAAACCACAATGAGATAACCACCTAAAACTAAGATAGCTAGATGAAGAAGAAGGGTTCGGTAGAAGGAGAAACAGCAAACACAAATATGAATAAACTGACATGTTGGAAACCTCAATACAGAATGGTGTGAACACAGTAGAAAACAGTTTGGAAATTCCTCAAAATATTAAATAGTTACCATATGACCCCAAATTGCACTCCTAAGTACATATCCAACAGAAATGAAAATAATGTTCACAAAAAACTTGTTCAAAAGAGTCCAGAGCAGCATTATTTATAACAGCCAAACAATAGAAGAAATAAAACCAGAAGAAATAAAACCCAAACAAAATGTGGTATATTTACAATGGAAAATTATTCAGACATAAGAAGAAATCAAGTACTAAGAAATTCAAATACAAGACACGGATGAACCTTGAAAATATAAGTGCATTTCCAAATTTAAAAGGCTACTAGCCAATCAGCAGCTTGGGAGACTGAGGCAGGAGGAGAGCAAGTTCAAAACCAACCTCAGCAACTTAGCGAGGCCCTCTGCAACTTTGCAAGACCCTGCTAAAAATAAAAATTAAAGGGCTGGGGATATGGCTCAATGGTTAAGCACCCCTAGAATCCATCCTTAGTACTAAAAAAAAAAAGTGCAGAGGACTACTAGCCAGGTTTGGTGGCACCCACCTGTAATCCCAGCAACTCTGTCCAAGGCCTACATGGGCAATTTAACAAAATCTTGTCTCAACATAAAAAAATAAAAAGACTGGGGATATAGCTCAGTGGTAAAGCACTTAGGATCAATCCCCAGTACAAAAAAATTTTTTTTAAATTTAAAAAAAAGGTATATGATCATTTACACAAAATTTTCAAAATAAGCAGATCCACACAGAAACATCAGTGTCTGTCAAAGGCTATGGAGAGAGGTGAATTGGGAGTGACTGGTAACGTATACAGGGTTTCTTTTGGGTGTGACAAAAATGTTCTGGAATTAGATAATGATAATAGTTGTAAAACTCTGAATATACTAACACACACCTATAATCTCAGCAACTCTAGAGGCTAAGGCAGAAGGATTATAAGTCTGAGGCCATCCTCAGCAAGTTAGAGACACCTCGTCTCAAAAAAGAAAGGGGGAGGGGATAGTATGTAAATTATCTCTCAATCTTTTAAAAGTGACTTAATTTGGACTAAACAAAAAAAGATTTGGTATCCTAGGTAAAACCAATTATTTCTTAATTCATCCATGCTTTCTCTCGTCCCTTTAATTCTCCTCCAAACCATACCTCTAGGAGATAATTCTTCAAAACAATCTTCTCCCTCTGTCTACTACTGTCTTGACCTTATTATTTCACTTATACCACCAACGTGTTGGTATTAACTCTTCCTGATTTCAGTCTCCACCCATTCTCAAAAAACCTATGCAATATTTTCTACATAAAACCTTTTGAAGCAAAACATAACCTCCCTGATTGAAAAATATTTAATTCCAATTATTAGAGAATAAAAATTGCCAATTATTTCATAATCTTGGTACACTGCTGGGATGAAATGGCCACTAATCCACCCTCCAATTTTACCATCCAATACTACTTTCTTTCAAACACCCTTTGGTGAAATCCTAATACAGAATTTAATTCTTTGAACAGCCTCCAACTTTCTACTGTTACATGGTATTTTCTCACCTGCAATGTACAAACAACTATTTACAGACACAAAATCCAGAGTTCAATCCCTGGTACCTCCCCCCATCTAAAAAATACACATAAAAAATAAAAAAAGAATATTTAGGGCTGGGGATTTGAGGTACTAGATTCAATCCTCAGCACCACAAATAAAGAATATATATGTATATATACATATATATGTATATATATTTATATATATGTATATATAAATATATTCTTTATTTGTATATATACATATATATGCATATATACATATACACATATAATATATACACATATACATATACATATATAAAGGTATTGTGTCCATCTACAACTAAAAAATATCCTAGTCCACTCACCTTAATTTACAAAATACAAACTTAACATATTTGTTACAGTAATTCATAAGCTCGTGTGCCCAAAAACCAAGCCAGTGGTTTTTAAAAACAGAATCCTAAGTTCCATCTTCAAAGATTTTCCTCTAGTAGTTCAGTTTAAGACCAGAATTCACAAGAACTGCAGGTGATTCTAAAACAAGAGGTAAGTTTCAGATCTCAGAAAATCACATGAAATAAAGAATGCAGTAAGAAAATGTAGCTTTCTAGCACTTAAGACCATCCTCAGAAATTTTCCATTTCCATTCCCTTAAGAGAACTTCTAAAGGTTACTCACTGCTACTTGTGCAGAATCCATAAATCTCAAACCAAAATAGTCACTCTCAATAAGGTCCAGGTGATACATAATCTGATCAAACAGCTCTTGTCCTTTGGCTTTTTTCTGAAATGGCAAGAAAATAAATCCATCAGTAAGTAGCTTATAAGGTCAAAAGGACTAAAAAGGTGATTTTAGTTATACACAATGTCTTACAGAAAGTACAATTTACCACACAAAAAGTATTATGATACAGCAGATAATGAGTAAAATAGTGTAGTTTCCCAATAAACCATTTGAGGCCAAAAGAAAATTTGTGATCTATATGTATTTTCCTGGAGAATACCTTCTTACCAACTAACAAATATTACCTACTTTGAAGTACAAATATTTATACAAAGTTATGTGTGTATAAGGAGAAATTATTGTTCTGTCTTCACAATTTTCTTTTTTGGGATGCTGGGAGTTGAACCCATGGCCTATCACATGGTAAAAACACATTCTACCACTGAACCACACCACCAGCCTTATCTTCTCAATTTTTATAGATTCTAGTTTAAAGGAGTCAATAATACAATTGAAAAAAGAAAACAGAGCACATAACTATAAATCATACAAAACTAATCAAACCTGCAAAAAAATTTTAGGAAAAAAATCAGTGACTAGAATTATCAGTGAAGGCTTGATGAAAAAAAAAAATCAGAAACAAAAAAGAATGTAAGATAGGAAATGGCAGGGGGATAGAAGGGAACATGAAAAAATTAGAAAATTACTTTGGGGATACAGAAGACACCAAATAATGAGGGTAATAGCAAAGATGATGTCTGAAAAATGAACAGATAAAATGTGGTCTCAGGACCACTGAGGGTTCCTAAGACCCTTTCAAAAGATCCATGAAGTCCTAGGATTCCCCTCGGATATTCCAATCAAAACAACCAACATATTGGGGATGCTGAAGATGTGCCTCAATAGTAAAGTACTTGCAAGGCCCCCAATACTGGGGAGGGGGGGTGAAGGAGAACCCACATTTTAGGACTAGGAATATAGCTCAGTGGTAAAGCACTTGCCTAGCAGAGACAAGACCCTGGGGTTCAATCTCAACACTGTAAAAAAGAAAAAGCAACATATTACAAAGCAGTAATATTACAACACAGTATCAGACTCCACAATCAGGCATTGTGCTGCGCACCTATAATCCTACTTCAGAGGCTGACGCAGGATGATTCCTAGTTTGATGCCAGCCTGGACAACTTATTGACACTCTCTCAAAAACAAAAGGGAGGCCAGGCACATGGTGCACGAGATGATCACAAATTCAAAGTCAGCCTTAGCAACTTGGCAAAGCCCTAAGCAACTTACTGAGAATCTGACTCAAAATAAAAAATAAAATGGGAGCCATAGGTATAGCTCAGTGGGAGAGTGCTTGCCTAGCACATGTGAGGCACATCCTCAGCACCACATAAAGATAAAATAAAGGTAGTGGGTCCATCTATAACTAAAATTTTTAAAAATAAAATGGGCTGAGGTGTGGTTCAGTGGTTAAAGACCCCTGGGTTCAATCCCTGGTTGAAAAAAAATTAAAACAGGAAAAAGGGCTTGGGATGTAGTTTAGTGTTAGAGCACTTGCCTAACATATGTGAGGTCCTAGATTCAATCCCCCAGTAAAATAAATAAATAAATAAATAAATAAATAAATAAGAAAGAATCTATTAAACCAGACATGAAAAAGATTTGTAACAGCATTAATACAATGCCACTCTAAGTTCTCAGTTATTTTGGAAAATATTTTTCATGAAAACGTTATTACTTGTGTTAACATACAAGGGGTATGTTACTGCTATTTGAAATTAACAAACAGCTAATTTTTAAAAACTTCTAATAATAATAGTTACCTTATTAGATGTTACCTTATTAATAGTGACCTTACTAGAAGTTACTTTATTAATAGTTACCTTATTAGAAGTTTTTAAAAATTAGCTGTTAATTTAAAATAGCAGCAACATAACTGTTGTAATGTTAACACAAGTAATAACATTTTCACGAAAAATATTTTCCAAAATAACTATCAATAGATATAAACCACATAAGCAAAAGCACTAAGGGAAAACAATTTTCATGCACATTCTTATCTAGGCCTCTCCCATCTAATTCAAAATTGTGATTTATAGTATTTCATTTTTAAAAAACATAGTTGAAGCGCTGGGGCTGTAACTCAGTGGTACAGTGCTTGCCTCCCAGATATGAGGTCCCAGGTTCGATCCTCAGCACTACATAAAAATAAATAAATGAAAATAAAGAATGAAAAAAGAATTGAAACTAAGGATTTAAAAGTATGTGCGCGCGTGTGTGTTTGTGTGTGTGTGTGTGTGTGTGTTTGGATTCCTTTTAGCATATCATTAATCTCTTTTTTGTTGTTGCTTCTTTTTGGTGCCTTATAGTTGTACATAAGAGTCGGAATCATTTTGACAGTCATACACATATGGAATTTAATTTACTTCATTTCATTCACCAATAACCCTGCTTTTCCTCTCCTCTCTTCCCATTCTCTACTGGTCTACCTTACATTCATTTACTTATGTTTTTGAAACCAGAGCATTACGCTCTGCTTTTTAACTAAGTTTATTATTTCTACTTGTTCTGTTCCCCTTTTTTACTGTAGTGCTAGGGATCAAACCCAGGACCCTAAATATGCTCTACACTGAGCCAGACCATTTTATTTTGAGACAGGGTCTCACAAGCTAGGCATGGTGCACATGCCTATAATCCCAATGACAAGAAAGGCTGACTTCCAAGTCTGAAGCCAGTCTCAGGAACTTAGCAAAGCTACAAATGTAGCTTAGTGGTAAAGTGTTGACAGCCACAGACGAAAGGGCCCCAGCAAACTTCCAGCTGCCAGCAAACTTCCAGCTGACCGCTGATGATTGGCTCACAGCGGTCCCAGCAAACTTCTAGCTGCCAACTGATTGGCTCCTCTGCGGTGATGCTCTTTGGGCTGTTTCCCCGCCCTTTCAGATCAGGGAGCTGCTTATTGGGGGACTTTTTTTGGCTCCGCCCATGCAACTCAGCCAATCGGCCTCAAGAGCAGGAGAAGTGGGGGAGGTTTAGAGGCTTGTGGGAAGCCTGTGGTGGCAGTTGGGCTCTGAGGGAATTCCTGAAGAGCTCCTGTAGTCTGGCGTATGTTCTAAAAATAAAGTTCCTTTCTGCTTGATGAGTGGCTCCTGAATTGTGCCCAGCCAGACTGCGGCAGTAAAGTGCTGCTGGATACAATCCCCAGGGGGTGAAAGGGAGACAGGATCTTGCTGAGTTGCCAGGCTGGCCTCAAACTTGGAATCCTACTGCCTCAGTCTCTTGAGTAGCTGCAATTACAGGTGTACACCAATATGAGCTCCTAAACTGATTTTTTAAAAACATCTTTACTTGGGTATTTGGTCACCTCAATTTATACATCTTACATGTGTATATAACATGTCTTATAGTATTGCTAGATTTCCTTCTCTGTTCATTTGAATTCTCCATGAATGTTTTTCAAGCAGGTCTTTGGCTGATTTTCTAAGGCCTTCTACATTTGAGAATATTTTACTCATCCCTCACACTTGAATAATGACTAGAAATAAAATTCAAGGTTTGAAATTACTTTAAATACTCTTTTGAATACTTAAAAAATATTACTCTATTAATAGTCTTTTTGAAGTCAATACTGTTGAATATGTTAATTTGCATTTGTTCCTTTGTAATGTTACCTTGTTCACTTTTAGACTTTATATCTGATTTTTTTTTTTTTTTTGGTGATACCAGGGATTGAACCCAGGGGCACTTAACTATTGCGCCGCATCCCCAGCCCTTTTTGTATTTTATTTACAGACAGGGTCTCACTGAGTTGCTTAGGGACTCACTAAATTGCTGACACTTACTTGCAATCCTTCTGCTTCACCTCCCATGCTGCTGGAAGTACAGGCCTGAGCCACTATGCCCAGCTTATATGATAAGTCTTAAATTTTACTGTACCATATACAGTAATTCTGAGGTATTCTATTTATTTGTTGACTACTGAAATGCTAGGGATCAAACCCAGGGCCTTGCATATGCCAGAACTATACATATACCAAGGCATTCTATGGTATTATATATGGATTTTTAAAATCCAAGAAGATGTTTCATCTTAAATTCTAGGAAATAAATATCTATTATTTCCTTAAACATTTTTCCTACTTTTCCGATTCCAAGTTTCCTCCCTAAGTGTTGGCACTTTTTTTTTTTAAAATTGTAGATGGACACAATATCTTTATTTTATTTTTAGTGGTGCTGAGGATCGAATATAGGGCCTCAAGTGTGCCTCTGCCACTATGCTACAGCCCCAGCCTTGGCACTTCTCTTTTTTAAGCATACATTTATACAGTAATCCTGATGATTATGCCTTATCCACTTTATATACATAATTTAAAGTTCAGAAAGATGTTCACATGTAACACTATCCTTTCCCAGAACCTGTCACCATTCCAAGCAAACTATGCCCATTAAACAAGCACTCCCCCATTCTCTCCCCCACCCCCCAGATCCTAGTAACTTATTTTCTATTGTCCATGAACTTGCTTATTCTGTATAGCTCATATAAGTAGACCAAATAATTCTTGGCCTCATGTTTCTAGCTTACTTAATTCATGTTTTTAAGGTATCACTCATGTGATAGCATGTATCAAAATTTCATTCCTTTTAAAGCTCAAAATTTTTCCACTGTATGCAAATATGACAGGGCAGCTCCTTTGGGAAGTCTTCCCACCCATACCAGGGACTGAACCCACGCCAAGCAAGCTCTCTATCACTTAGATACATACCTCATTTTTAAATTTTATTTTAATATACGGTCACATTAAATTGCCCAAGCTGGTACCCTAACTTGATTTTCTGCCTTAGCCTGTTCAGTAGTTGTATTTCATCAGGAAGTTGTTCTTTGAGGTTACTTTTGCCTCTCCCTCTCTTTGCCCCTTTTAAGGTTCCTCCTCCTCCCTAATCCTTTTCAAAGAACTTTCCCCTCCCTTTTGCCTTTTGCTTCTCTAAAGAGAAGCCCTACCTATTCCACGGGCTCATGTCTATCTTTATGCTAGTACCACACTACTTTTGATTGTTAT